GTCTCGCATCCGACCGTACATGTGTCTTGCATTCAGCCATACACATAATACCTTCTTTTTCTATCTAACTGTATACTTGTCTCTTCCATTTTCCTTCATCATTAAGGCATTAAAATAGGGAGGAAATTAATATAAAATTCGTGCAAAATATCACCCTTAGGCATTCCTCCACCTATCTTGCCATTCTGCACCGTATCGGGTACTTTTTCGGGTCCTGACTTACCCGGAACCACTGGGACATGTTCTGGCACTATTTTCTCTCCTCAAATAAATTCACATGGCATTATATAACATGCCCAGAGAAAGAGTGATGCTCTTCCCTTGTTCTTCTATTAAAATAATTAAAATAATTAATAATATTTATTTCGGAGTGATCTTAACCAAATTCTTTCTACCGATCCACAACTCCGAGAATCTATCTATGGGTACTAATACTATTCATTCATCACAGAGAATCCCTCTAATTTTTCTTAAGTCAAAAGTCAACCTCTAGACAATTAACTTTGACTTTCCCTGGATAGTATGTAAATAGGCTTTAAATTCCATTAAAGCCAATCTCTTCGCTTTTTAGGGACAGAATTATTTTTAAAACATATGATAATTCCTCAAGTATTTTTTCCCATTTTCTTCCAATTATCTAAGGCCTCCGTATACTTTAAATAATTCATTTTTAATAATATTCAAAATCAGTCAAAACCCTGGGAATTCTACAAATTCCTTCTGGGGGCATTTTCGTCATTTTTAGCCTCATACAGGCCTCTGAATCTTATTCCTATTTTTTCAGAATTTTTCTAAGCTATTCAGGCCTTAGCCTACCATTTCCCATTTTCTGGGATTTTATGGCATAATTTCCATTTTTGCCTTTACTAGCCCAAAACTTTACAAAATTACAATTTTGCCCTTAGTTTGACTTAATCTTAAAATTCATCTCATTAAGGCCTCCAACATAACCTTTGGCCTACATTTATCTCTATTTCTCATTCCTAGGCCCTGAGACTTCTTCTGAGTCTCTAACTTCCTCTTTTCTTAGTCCCTAGGAATCCCTCTGAAAACTTTCTCTTTGCGATTTAGTCCCTAAGAATCCCTCTGTCCTTCCAGAGAATCTCTGGGACCTCTGCCAAAAGGGGTCTGGTAGCTTCCCAATTCAGCCTAATTTTTGTACTTCTAGGCCTAAAAGTTGGGATGTAACATTCTGCATCCCCTCTCTCTTTTATTTTTCATTTTTCCAACCACTCTTTCTCAATTTTTCTTCTCGCATTAATTTTTCCAAAGTCTTCATCCCCCCCCCCAAGTCTTCTTTCTAATCCAAATGTCTCAATTTTTCCAGGCCTCAATTTTCCACACATCAACTTTCCACGAGTCAATTTTCCACGCCTTAACTTTTCACCGAAGTAAGTGGAAAACTGCTACTTCTTCTTGTTTTTTTTAATTATTATTTTATTATAAAATATTATTTCATTTATTTATTTATTTACTAAATCGTAAAATAAATTTAGGATATCACATTGACTAATTTGGGAAGGTTAAGAAAGTTTGTTAAGTTAGTTATTTGTAATAAATATATATTGTCTTTTATAAAATAACCTTATTAATCATGTGTTTAAATTACTCATTGATAGTAACTCCTTAATATATGCAACTACTATAAGGATATTACTCAAGGGCAAAATAGATAAATATTGGAGACAGTGAATTGGAATATTTATTTAGGACAAAAAAGAATGTTAGATGACTAGAAATAACATTATAATAAGCTCCCCAAGAACCAAATGAAAGTATCAACGTAGAAGCTTGATATCATCGACAAAAAGAAAGTGATTTCGGAGATAGAGATAAATCATTGAAAAAATGACGGCTCCATATTATAAATTTTTTAAAAGAATTATTATCATGAATTTTAATTAAAAAAATTGGATGCTTAGTCCTGTATATTGTGTCTAATAAAATCTTGGCATGTGAAATTTTTGATAAATTATCAATCATCAATTATATTCTTGAAAACTTGTAATATCGGATTCGTTTGAAAATGAGTCAGATATGAGATTATAAGATCTGAATAAATTCAATAAATGATATTTAAATAAAATCTTGAATGAGATTTGAATATATTGAATTAACAAAAAATATTATAAATAAATGTAATTTTAAATAGAGGTTCAAATGAAGAAATTAATAATTAACTTTGAATCTGAATAATATCTTAATTGAAATTTCAATATATTAAATTAAATGGGGTATCATGATTTGATAGTATGTCAATGAGAGGCTTAAAAGGAGAAATAATTAATTAATTTTAAATTTTAATCTATTCCTCGTAAATTCTACATCTCTAATTCAAATTTCATTAAAATGAATAAAAAAATAAATTCCTATTAGAAGTAAATTTTAAGCTATCTTAGATAATGCAATTTATTAAAAATTTAAAATAATCAAATATGCCAGTCCATGGATCGCATATAGGAGAAATTTCCAGTTTAATCTATAACACTTTAAAATCTACTTAATGTAATTTAATTAGATTAAAAAATATTAAATGTATAAAGCTAATAAATCATTCTCCATTTTTTTTTTTAAAAAAAATAACTTGGAAAAGAATGAAGCTTGGAGACAAGTGTCCACGTTTAGTACTCGAATAGAATTACCTAAAATAAAAAGAGTTTTATGCCTAGAAAAGAAAAATCAAGCAAAAGCCTAAATGGTCCCGCTCATAGTCAAGTCGTCTAAGTGTGGAAAATTTGGCCCCTTCCTCTTCTTTCCTCTTTCTTCATAATTTACACAATTTCTCTCGAGAGCTAAATAATTATTAATCTTATAATTTTTTTCCCAGAATTATTAATCTTATATATTGCTATCATTTCCCTTTTTAATTAATCTGACCGTTCTTATGTGCACATACATGCCGGCATTTGTACTTAAGTGACAAGCATACTGAGGAGGAGTTGAAGATTCAGAAGAGGAAACCATGAAAGCACGTATCTGGAGGAAAGAAAGCTCGAAAAGAAATAAGAAAGAAACAAGAAAGACAGAGAAAAGTGGAAGACAGCTGGAAAAAGAAATCAGAGTGAGAAAAATGGAATGGCTCGTGATACCATGTGACCACAGTAAAGGGAGGGAAAAACTGACTTGCTTTTCATTAATGAAACTAATCATGTACATATACAATTGGTTCGCATATATAACAAACTTTACTCTGTAAAACTTAACTTTACACGGTACAAACTTAACAAAATGTTAACTCTTATCACTTTTCATACTGATAATTGTATAGACACCCTTTTTTAAAATACAATATCTGATATCCCGCACTATTTGGATTAAATTCAAACATTGTCAGAGTCTAATTCGAGATAAGTCTCTCAAAAATATTTCTGCATCAGACAAATGCAACATCAAGATTTTATGTTTAAATTGTTATAACCCTCATAGAGCATGTTTCATTTAAACCAAATATGCTTTTTCATCATCGCCCTCTCTTTCGCTAATAAGTCTTCTATCATTATGCATGTTTTCCTTCATTTAGAAGTTGTCACAAACTTGAGGGACCAGATCGATAATTAAGACAAATTTGAGCGAGTTGATTGATAAATAGTAGATTTTAACGACGAGGTCGATAATTGTGCAACTTTGAATATTTTCTTTACATATACATATATATATATATATATATATATGGGAACTGATGGGAAATTATTTTTCTTCGTGGTTGATGTATATATCATTCAGACGGCAGGTATTATTTTCTCATAATTAAATTATAATTGACTGACTTCTAGACCTTAAAAAGAATTATACTCTAATTGACTAACTTGTTTCTTTTAATGCTGGCTTTTTGTACTAAACTATTCAAACTTGGGCGGCTTTATAATCTAAAGTCACTTTCTCGTATTATAATAATGTTTGTGTATTATTTATTTATTTTGCTAAACACTTGCATCTTGTTACTAATGACAATACTGTTCAAGATACCATACTAAATGTGAACACCTCTTAGTATGATTTAAAAATTAGTTTGCTATGTTCTGATAAACTGGTCCTTTTCATTAGATACTCAACCCTCGTTCACCGAATCTAACCATTATTGTTAATAGTTCAACCTACGTTGATTAAAAAATATGCGTCCAGTTATCAACATTCCGTGCTAAAGTCAGCGTAAAGAGCCTACACAACCATTGCTATATTGGCTTCTCCTTCCTAGCGAAAAGAACTCACACAGCCATCATACTTATGGGAAGTCGAATTTGTAACATCTTATTTAAACCAAGACTTAAGAAGGTGCTTGATGTCAGTTGAGTCACCCAGCTCCAAGAAATCTTAATTATTATACATTCTGAATCCATATATTGATATCGACATTTTATATTTAGATTATTTGACGGTGGAGAATATACTCTCCTATCCTGAATGCTGGAGTAAATGAACCTATATAAAAATATAGTGCTAAATTTTGTCCTTGATTTGCTTTTTGCATTGCCTTTGTCTCCAGCCAGGCACTGCGTGCCAGAAGAGCCACCACATGTTGCGCCCTCCCCCTAAAAGAGCCAAAGGTCGTCGTTGTTTTGTGAAGCCATAGTCCTAAATTTTGTCCTTGATTTGCTTTTTGCATTGCCTTTGTCTCCAGCCAGGCACTGTGTGCCAGAAGAGCCGCGACATGTTGCGCCCTCCCCCGAAAAGAGCCAAAGGTCGTCGTTGTTCTGTGAAGCCGCGAGACGGGAGCCTTGGCTCAAATCTCGAGATGGGAAAGCCAATTCACTGGATTACAAACTGGGGCAACTATAATATAATTAAAACACGTTAATATATCATTAAGAAAACAGCACTTTAAGGTAAATTGCGTACATCTTTTGGTTCAACTAATCCAATCATGCATGGTTGACTCGATACAACGAACAGTGTGAAAGGAGAGATAGACTAAAGAAGGTTGACTAGAAATAACACTATACTGGTATATATGATAAGCTCATCAAGAACCAAATGAAAATAAAGTGTCGAGAAAGAAGCTTATGGAGCAGAAAAGAGAGAAGGATTTTGGAGAGACAATGTATCACCCATTGCATCGCCACCCAGTGAGGCTGAAACGCCACGAAGGAAACACGTTTAAGTGCACTGGATGCAAAGAACTAGGGTTGGGCCCTAGGTACCATTGTGTCAAGAACTGTGATGACTTCGTCCTTCACGAAGCGTGTTTCAAGGCTCGCCCTAGAGACAGATCCAGAATCCACCCACTCATGGGTAACTGCAGATTCCAGTTCCTCTGGGAACCTCCCGGCGGACCGAACAGCCGGTTGTGCGATGCTTGTGGGAAGGACGTTCGAGGTTTCCTGTATCATGATAAATCCAAACACAAGCTTGACTTGCACCCTTGTTGCATGAACCTTAAGAGCACCATGTCTGATCCCTATGGTAGGATGACACTGATTCTTAAGGACAAAATGCCCTCCAAGTGTGTGAAATGCGAGAGGAAGGATCTAAAAGTACAGAGCAAGGAGCCGTTCGGAGGGTGGTCCTACGTGTCCTCTTGTGGAAAATGTTGCTACCATGTGTATTGCGTGAAGAAATTGATTCTGGATAACTGGAAAAGGGGCTATTTCAATGCAGGTTCGTCTTCTTCGTCTTCGTCTTCCAGAGGAAGAAGCTTGGTCAGATGTGAGACTGCAAGCTCATCAAGAAGTATGAGCTTGGAAGGTCATAGAAGCTTGATCACATCAGCCACAAGCTCTTCGGCCTTGGCAAGAAGAGGCTCCTCGCGGCCACCGATGTCATCGTTCACTCGTGGGTTGATCAAAATGGCGAGAATTGGTTTCAATGTTATAATATCAGTTCTCTTCGGAAATCCAACCCCACTCTTTACTTCTCTGGCCGAAAACTTGCTGAATTAAAAGGTTAGATCCTTTTTCGGCGTGGGCCCCGTATTATTCATAAGAAAAAGGTTGGATCCTTTTATATTATGATATATATATATATATATTTACGTAATTCTTCGTATTTTGATATTGCTATAATCCTTGAGTTGTGTTTGTATTACACTTTTATGTTTGACGAACTTGTGATAGCCAGTAATTGATCCAAGTCTCTGCCAATTGGCTTCTTGTTCTCTTGGTTACTTGGTTCTACTTTTGTACTGTTTATGCTAATAAAATTTTCTTTCTTCTTTCGCTGAATCCTCCATCTTTAAATCCTACGTTTAGGTCCAGGTTGGTTCCTTTTTGAGTTTTTACTTTGCGCGCGCGCACACGCAAAATTCTAAGGTTTAAATGCGAGGCTTTCAGAAGAAATATCAATCCATACATAAATCGAGCTCTGAATGTCTAAAACGGCTTGATATGAGGTTATACAAGTTATAACTCATAAAATGGCAAAAATAATATCATTAAAAAGATAAAGTGACTTCATATATAAATTTCAAATGAATTATTATCATGAATTTTAATAAAAGAAACTTGTATACCTAATCAATGCTATATATTGTGTCCATAGTAAAATCTTGGCATGTAAATATTTATTCTATAAAAAATCTTTAATATTACTAATATTATTAGCACTTTAAAATCTACTTAATATAATTTAAAATATTAAGTGTATAAAGTTAACTTGTTCTCCATTTTTGAAAAGGATAACTATGAAAGGCCTTGCCAAAAATAAATAACTAGGAAAGGAATGAAGTTGAGGTTATTTTCCTTCAACTAAAAGCAAGCAAAAGTCTAGGTGGTCCTGCTCACAGGCAAGTCGTCTGTCTAAGTGTGGAAATTTTGGCCTCTACCGTATTTGACCCATTCAATAGCTCTTCTTTCCTCTTTCTTCATAATTTACACAATTTCTCTCGAGAGCTAAATAATTAGTAATCTTATATTTTTTTTGCCAGAATTATTAATCTTATATATTGATATATTGCTATCATTTCTCTTTTAATTAATCTGACCGTTCTTATGGGCAAATGCATGCCGGCATTTGTAGTTAAGTGACAAGCATACTGATAATTGTATAGACACCCTTTTTAAATAAAAATACAATATCTGATATCCCACATGTCACACCTCTTTTTATAACCTATTACATGTCAATTGGAACTAATATAAGTCGTTTCGTAATACATCCGGTCGAAAAATTTAAAATTCAGGATTTTACTGTTCATCATGTCCATCCACTGTTTATCTGAAAATGGATCAACTTTGAAAATTCATAACTAATTCTAGAAAAATCAAAATGATGTGATTCTAATTTTCACACAAAGCTTGCTAAGATTTGTATGGGGAAAAAATACTCATTAGGTCTAGTTCCACCCAGAATAATTCCAGGAAATTCGTCAAAATGCACTGTTTATTTGGTAAATTTTTGAATTTTCAGTATTTTTGCCCAACTTTGGAAGGGTATAACTCTTAGCACAAAACTCTAATGTTAGTGGTTTACTACTTGTTTTAAAACTAAAAATGAGATCTATAAGTGTATGAGATTTCGTGTCCAAATTCTAACAATTACTCATTCTTTGATGTCACAAGTTTGGCCTGTTTTAGGGAGATTCTATCCCCTAATCCTACTTTCTTTAATTTATCTCCCATTTTCCTTTTTCCTACACTCTTTTGACATTATACCATTCAATATTCCAACATTTAGGCGTCTCATACAAACATAATTTACATCACATATCATTCATAATCCATTACATTCTTAACATAAAGTTCATTAATACATTACATGCAACATAACATAATAGCATCAAATTCTATAATTGCTTCTCTATCCCAAAATCACTTCCTTGCCCTTGCCATCTGATGAATCATTTCCTATTTGAGACATAATTTAACATAGGAGGAATGAGATTTTCATGAAATCTGAGTAGCATTTGAATTACAATTATCATGCGACATGTTATCATACATTAAGGCATAATCAACCACATAAAATCATGCTTAATGCCATGCTAAAAGAGGAACATCAACACTTTCACAATGACATAATCCAATGCATTTGGCCAAAGCATAAACCAATGTTATTCAACCAATCCATGCCACAACACAAGTTTCTCTATCCAAGCAAATAACAAATCACATTAAACAAGTAAGATTAACAATCAAATTATAATTCAACGCTACCTTTTTAACACTTGTCGACTAGGTTACTTCAAGGGACAAAGCTTCTCCTTGGTTCCTCCTCACAATGCCTATCAAACCAAGTATAAACATAGGCTACATTAATCACTAAACAACTTGATTCCAACACCTTAACATTACCTTAACAATTCCCCCCCTTTTTATTTTTAACAAAATGATTCCTTCTTTAGAATCAATCATCTCATGGCTCATCCCTACACAATTTTTCATGAGGAATCCAATGGTGCAATCAGATTTTTAAAATTCATACTCCTTCCCCATGGAGTTCACTTGGCCGAATAGGGGGTTCTTAACTTCTGAAAATTCCATTTTTGATTCCAATGATTTTAAACACTTTCCAGCAACATATCCCTACACAAAAACATGTTTTAAAGCCATTGGAATTATCAAATCAAGCAAAATCAAATTGCTTCCCCTTAAACCCTAACTTTGATTTCATCCAAAAATCAATCCATACACCACTTAATCTTCCTTATTCCACTTGATTATTAAGGTTTCTATCCTTCTCTAAACATCACAAGGTCCAGCAAAATTTTGATAGAATTTTTCCTAATTTTCCAAGCTAAAAACTTCAACTAACCAAGCTTGAAATGGAATAGGAAGGCATAAGCTTACCTTAATGTTTTCTTGGTGTATGTTGAATGATTCCTTGTCCAAAATACTTAGAGTTTTCGGTTGAAGGGTGCTGGAAGCAAAATGGCAGAACCTCCTTGTTTTTCTATTTTTCCAACATTTTTTTGTATTTTCTAAGGGGGTATTTATAGAAAAATTCCATCTGCCCTCACCCCTCTTCAATTGGATGAAATTGGACACCTAATAAGGTGTATGTGGCAGCCATCAAGTGTTCAAAATATTCAGATCACTCCATGTGGCTTTTCTCTAGATTTTTCCACAAAAATATCTCTTAATTTCATATTTTATTTAATAAAAATGAACGGACCTAGAAGGTGTACGAAATTGGGTCCTTATTAGGCTCAATGTGGGCCCCACAAAAGGTTTGGGCTGGTCCAAAAAGATAGCCCACAAACCCAATCACTATCTCAAACCAATTAGAAACTTTATCGGTTACTATTCACTAGTAACATTTCATAATTTTTTCAGACCTCTAAAAATTTATTTCTCTCCATGATAATTCACCATTTAACATCGGAATATGATCTGAAAATTTTCAGAATTTTTTGTTACCTCTAGGTATTTATTTTGAATTTTCTCTGATTAGGCCTTTATCAGTGTCATTGCAGGAAAATAAATTCCCCAAAATTAATTCCTAAGCTTCCAAGGCCTAAAACCAATTTTATAAATTCAAATAAATATTTAAATAAATTTTTCATCAATCTTCCAAAGATATTGAGGCCTCTAACTAATTAAAAGAATTATTTTTCTCTGATTTTCTAATATTTTCCCGAAAAACCTTTGTTTACGGGAAATTCAGTAATAAATCATTTTCATGGAAATTCCATTTTTGGGTCTCAACTGAGTTTCTAAAATCTCTACTCTACACTTTTCCCATTTTTCAGGGATTTTCTGAATTTTTTTCCAAATTTTCCCATTTTGCCCTTCCTAGACCGATAGTTATGAAAATGCCAGTGTGGACCTTATCGGGGTTTCACATCAAAAGTTGGTTCATCTCCCCGTCTAGTTTTTATATTGACTCTCATCCCAATTTTTGATTCCCTACAACCAAGTAAAAATGTTTGGGATGCGACACCGCACTATTTGAATTAAATGCAAACATTGTCAGAGTCTAATTCGAGATAAGTCTCTCAAAAATATTTGTATATTCGGACAAATTCAAAGTTGAAATTTTATGTTTAAATTGTTATAACCTTCTTAGAGCGTGTTTCATTTAAACCAAATATGCTTTTTCATCATCGCGCTCTCTCTCTCTCTAACAAGTCTTCTATCGTTATGTATGTTTTCCTTCATTTTAGAAGTTGCGACAAACTTGAGGGACTAGATCGATCATTAAGACAAATTTGGGGGAGTTGATTGATAAACATTAGATTTTAAGGACGAGGTCGATAATTGTGCAACTTTGAATATTTTCTTTATATATATATATATATATATATATATGGGGGAACAGATGGGAAATTATTTTTCTTCGTGGTTGATATACATATCATTCAGACGGCAGGTATTATTTTATCATAATTAAATTATAACTGACTGACTTCTGGACCTTAAAAAGAATTATACCCTAATTGACTAGCTTGTTTCCCTTAATGCTGGCTTTTTGCACTAAACTATTCAAACTCGGGCGGCTTAATAATCTGAAGTCACTTTCTCATATTATAATAATGTTTGTGTATTATTTATTTATTTATTTATTTTGCTAAACACGTGTATCTTGTTACCAATGACAATACTGTTCAAGATACTCACTATAAAAAAAAACAGTTAATTACCGACAGAATTAGTGACGAAATAATTTTCGTTGCTATTTTCTGACGGATTACCCACGAAAGTTGTA